TCGAGTCCGCGCACTATTTCGAGGATATCCTCTTTGGCTAAATTGACATCATTTTCGTATCCAATAATCGTAATGACGTCCTGTTTATCTTCCTCTGAGCGACCGTCCCTTCCCCTGAGCTCTGGGAACTGGATTTGGACCTTATGTTTGTCCCTAATCTTTGTAATAATAGCCCCGCGTTTGCCAATAATCTTCGGATGATATATAGGGTTGACTCGAATACTAACAGCGAAACTCTTGGCCTGTTTCTCCTGTTTGTCGGACTCTATTTTGATGACCCGCTCTTCAACGGCTTTCTTCGCTTTGTAGACATTGTCTTTAGAACCAGTTATACTGATTGTATCACTGGAGGCGTTGGGCGGCGGCACTGAAATCGACACGTCGTAAGTCTCCATCAATTCGCGCACTTCGCGACCCTTCTGTCCGATAATAAATCGGTGCAAATCGAAAGGCACCTCCACTTCAATGGTTATGGGAATTAAAGCTAACAAAGCGTTTTGAGCCGATTCGCAGTTCTCTTTCTTCCCGGTAATCAAAATAATGTCTGATTTTCGTTGAGTTTTCTCCAATTGTTCCACACTTTCAGTGCTTCCGTTATAATCGCCATTAACTAAGTCCTCTTCGGCGGCCACACCGTTAGTGCCTCTCTCGGGAAACTTGATCCTCACGTCGTGTTCTTGAGTGATGGCCTGAACTCTTGTGCCACGAGTGCCCATAAGTGTGCGATGATATCTGGCCTCAATCACACATTCAATAGTGATCTGTGAATCCAAATCTTCGATGATTTCAGTGATTCTTTGTTTCGCACTTTCGATGCACTCTTTGGCTCCTTTAAGAACAACTCTATCGCTATCTCTTTGGGCATTTCGCGGGAAACTGATGGTTACGCCACCGAAATCGTCGCCAATTTGTTTGAGAATAGCACCTCTTCGGGCAACAAAATGCTTGTGATATTTAGGATCCACTTTCATCTCTCCCTCAACCACTCTCTCGAGGTCTCTAACCATGTCTTCTAACAAAGCCTTTGCTTTCGTCACCTCTTCTTTCTTACCGCTAATGATAACCGAATCCCTGTCTGCGGGCGACTCTTCTTTGCCGGTCGGGAAGAAGACTCGGGCGCCGGTATTGTCTCTAACTTTCTTAATGTTAGCACCATTTTTGCCGATGAGGTATCGGTGGTGTTCGGGTTTTATCTTTAATTCTTCACTAAAATTATTAATTTGCTGTTCGTTTGAAATGGCAATTAATTGTTGTTTTGCTTTTTGGACGCAATCTTTAGGGCCACGAATGGAGACTTTATCACTACCGGAGCCTTCAGGAGGAAATCGGATGAGAACACCCCCGCAGTCGTCCATAATTTGTCTGATTTGACGCCCTTTCGCGCCGATTATGTAATTATGGATCTTCGAGGGGATAATGATGTCCACCTGAACCACATCTTCCAATTCATTTTGAATGGTTTGAATGCGGTCGCGAGCCATCTCCACATTGCTCTTGATTCCGGTGATCACAATCACATCAGAGTTGGCCCCTTCAGCCGGCAAATCAATGCGAGTTCCCGTCTCATCCCTTATCTGCAATTTACCAAATCATATCATATCATCAAATATGTCCGAAATCAAATAGTCAACCAATCAAATTGAAAAATAAATATAATATAAGAATTTCATTGTAAATATCATATCAAAAGGTTATTCTATCAGATTCTATATATAGTATATTCAGGGATAAATTAACTAACAGCCGTTACCATTTAAAACATATTTTTCCAATATAATTAATTTTGCTAATGTTGTAATATTATATTTTCCAAAAATAGCCTATGATATATACTGTATCATTTGTATAACTGCTCATAATTATAAACATTTTCAAACCCGAGTAGTCATTTAACTAGACTATTAAAACATTTGAATATCCAATTATATGTAAACATTTAACACACAATTCTATATTTTGACAATAAATTTAATGGGTTTTAAAGCCCATCTAAACTTTGAGTGTAAGGATTACTTGTAATAATTTGGGTAAATATTTACCCTATTGTCTTTACAATGGTGATAAAAACGCCAAGTTTTTAATAGACTTCAACATAAAATATAATTGTCGATCAATTATAGAGCACTAAAACACTAACTATTTTATGTATTCTAATCAAATGGTGACATTTATATCAAACATAATCCTAAAGATAAACAATAGTAAAAACACTGTAAACGAAATCATTGCTGACTATAATTAATGATAAGATTTAAAGTTAAAAATGGATAGAATTGCACAAAGAATAATTCAATTGGACACTACTATGGGGTTGCTATGGGCCATACAAATGCCAATTGTGTATACTTTGGATTTAACTACCGGTAATAAAACAGTAATTTCAATGAACTACTTGCTATTTGACTGTTCAAGCTAACATTAAAGCAGTACTGTACGGGTAATAAATAAGAGATAATAAAGTGGTAATAAGACAAACCTTTTTAATGTTGGCGCCCTCTTTGCCGATAATGAACTTATGGAACTGTTTAAATATAGGCACTTCCACTCTGTGGTGATTAGTGAGGAGTTCTTTGTTGAGTTGAGACATGTGTTTGTAGCACAGGTCCACATCCTTACGACTGCCTCTTATGGTCACTTTGTCGCTCTTGTCGTTAGGTTCGGGGAAAATGATGACAACCTGTGAGGAGAGGAGGCATTAGTTGCATGAAATGTCTCAATATATCAAACAGATGTCAAGACCTGATTAAAGCGTTCGCGGATTACTTTAATGTTCTCGCCTTTGGTTCCAATGATCTGTCGATGAAATCTCTGTTCAATCATCAGATCCTTTGAGACCTCATTCTCTTTTTCAACCATTTTCTTAATCATAGTTTCCAACTCTTGTTTGGCTTTCATCACACTTTGAGGCGAGCCTTCAATCCTAACGACATCACTGGCGGCCACGTTCTCATTGCCTTCGCTGGGGATATGGATCTGAGCGCCGGTCTCTTCGCGGATATGCTTAATGTGAACACCATTTTTGCCGATAATAAAGCGATGATATCTGGAGTCCACTTTGAGCTCTTCGACAACTATTTTGGAAGTGATTTCACGAATCACTTCGCGGATCACTTCCTTGGCTTTGTCCACTTCAGCGACGGGTCCGTGCATTTTGATCTTGTCTTCGCTCGACACGAACGATACGTTCACTTTCTGAAAGTCTTGAGAGATCTCCTGAAATTTGGTGCCTTTAGGGCCGAGAATGTATTTATGATACCAGGCCGGCACCTCCATCTCCACGTCCACCTCGCTGTGAGCTTTCTCGTAGAGGACAGTGAGGGCGGGCCCCAACTTGTCCTGTTCTCCTCGCAGTGTAATCGTCTCACTATTGCTGTCCGGCGACGGCATCTCAACCGAAACGCCAGTATTCTTGAATATGTCGTTCAGTGTGTGGCCTTTGGGACCGATTATGTACTTGTGTTGCGATTTCCGCACTTCCATTGACACCGTCTGACACTTCTTCTCTCTGTCTCTAAAGATCCGCAGAATCTTGTCTTTGGCCATAAGAACGGCATCCCTTTCGCCGGTGATAGAGATCTCCTCTTTGTTAACACTGGGCGGCGGAACACTAACCTTAGCGCCCGTCTCGTTCATAATGGCGTTCAAATTCTCGTTGAACGGCCCGCACACGAAGGGGTGGTATATCTTAGGAATGGAAACGCGTTCGTTGGCACGACTGGCCATCTCGTTGGAGATGAGTTGGATTTCGTGAACCGCTTTATCGATCGCTTCTTTTGTGCCCAAAATTTTGATTAATTCCGAGGAATCGTTTTGTCGGGGAATAGATATCTTGGTTCCGGTGTTCTGTTCCAAAGCCGACAACTTGAGGCCGTTTTTGCCTAAAATGAAGCGGTGGTGCTCTTTAGGGATGGGCAGCGTAGCACTGGCCTGTGTCTGGAGTTCCGATGAAATCATGCGTTTAGCCAACTGGACGGCCTCTTCCTTGCCGGTGATGAGGAACGTGAGGGTCCCGTCCTTCGAGATACTCATCTCGATGTGAGCGCTCGCCTTCTGCATAATGTCGGCGCATATCTTCGACTGCTCCGCCTGTTCGCCGAAACGACTGTTCAGTTCCCTATACTTCCTCTCTTCGGGCGCCACACGAAACACTTGAGTGATGTTCGAAGACTTGACTTTCATTTTCTGGATATTCCACTGAAGACCTGTGTTCACCACAGTGTTGTCCGTATCGCCTCTGGACTCGCTCTCTGGAAGTGCTGGAAATATGTCGTCGTATGTGGGCGCTATTGTGGGCGCTATTGGGGGCACAGTGTCGGCGCTCACGTGGTATTCGTCTACCGGCGAAGGCATTAAGTGCTGACCTATTGTGGGATCAATAGTGGGGACGCTGTAGTGAGACATATGGGACGAGTGGCCGTTGGGGTCACTCATGGCAGCAGTCAATGTCAACGGCTGTACTCCTGAGTAATGGCTGTCAAAGCCGTGAATCGTTGGGTCCGGATTCATAGTCGGGGATCAGTTCCGTGTCGTACAGTAACTCTATGGGAGGCAAACACAATAGACACTCATTAATTGAGGTGACACTTGCTCCACGCCATCAATGCATCAATGGATGCAAGAGTGGTAAGTGTGGTAATGCTTGTAATGAATGGTCATATGAGGTAATGAGTGGCAAAGAGTGCCACGTATTGTCAACAGAGTGTGAGTCTGTGTGCACTGCTATTCACATCTATTGTTAGTTAGGGTTAGTGTTAGGCTTACAAACCAATAGTTATGGTAATTATGATAATCTTATTAATGAATGAATGCATCGATATATCCATACAAATGAGGGCTACTTTGAGGACAAGCGACTCAAAGCAATCATATATCATAGCATTGAATGACGTGTCACCCAATGGACCTGCAATGGAGTGATTGGCAGACAATCGCTTCTTGGGATCACTTACTGTACTGTTCCGTAAAGACCGTCCAATTAGTTACTACAGAATGGGCTCCACTTTCACACCACTTGTGGTATCTCTTCTGAAATACGTTAACGTATTAATGGTTTGATCTTAAAGGACAACACGATATATACTATTCATTACATTCATTATGTAATGTCAGCACTACTTGTAGGCATACACCAGCCAGCCATATAGCCATACACTACAACACCAGTGCACAGCTACCAGTGCTACCACCACTGCCAATCAAATGCTGAGCCAAACCAAACTCAACCTACCTGTCCACACACAGGCATACACTCCATGCATACAGTATTACTATAATACCTATACTGTACCTGACCAATTTTCATATAGCTTCTGAGCGCTCACTTCAAACCACTTGAGCCCTCCCTGTCCTGTCGTCCACTCGACAATCAAATTGCATTCACAGTCAGTCACTCAAGTAGGTCTACTGTCACCACAACAGGTCCACACACTCATTGCTACGCTGAGTGTGTGCCAAATGAGTGCCGGTGCCCATCATTATACTACCGGCACTGATCAGGTAGTTGTACGACCCCTACCACTAACCACTCCTCCATACATATGACAATCAAATGATAGCTCATGAGTTACACTGTAGATCACTGGCCTATTGTATGCCTAATTGTGTCAACTCTTTGGGAGCTGTACTGTTAAATTCAATTANCGGCACTGATCAGGTAGTTGTACGACCCCTACCACTAACCACTCCTCCATACATATGACAATCAAATGATAGCTCATGAGTTACACTGTAGATCACTGGCCTATTGTATGCCTAATTGTGTCAACTCTTTGGGAGCTGTACTGTTAAATTCAATTACCGGCAATGAATCACTTGATTAAGAAAATAACTTTTTTGACAACTCTTGATTTAGGTATTGTAACTGTAATACAATATATTGTAATCACTTTGACAATACCTGTGCTATAGACTATACTGTACAGTAGTACAGTAGACTAGCACACATTAAGAAAATAACTTTTTTGACAACTCTTGATTTAGGTATTGTAACTGTAATACAATATATTGTAATCACTTTGACAATACCTGTGCTATAGACTATACTGTACAGTAGTACAGTAGACTAGCACACTTTTCAGTCTTGAAGAGTATACTTTCAAATTGAAAGTTTCAATGAATGCATCAATTGTGTCGATTGTACCGCAAATTAGCATCAAATTAAATGTTATATTTTAATGAATGAATACAAAACGAATTTTAAATAAATTAATGAAAAATTTTAATTCAAGAAAATTGTATTAAATCTAATGATAACCGGTTTGTTATTCAAATAAAATATTTTGTCATCATTTGGTAAACGGAATATAAATACAAATAATTATCACTTTTTATTAAACATTGTCTTTAATGTAAACTATGAGTTTTGACAACAAAACAGTGAAAACCAAAATATAACATTTTATAGTACATTAAAGTATAGTTAGATTTGTTTGTAATTTATTAATTCTGTAATGAATTCATGATCTCAACTAAAATAGTTGTACTTATAATACACTAAATTTGAATCCAAAATAATTGTCTATTTGTCAACAGTTGTGATATGATTAGCCGATTGTTCAGTGTATTGAAATCAATTGTTGTCATACTTGTCATCGACGATCAATATTTGTCAGAACTATTGGATCAATAGATTCACGCATTCAATGGATGTCTGAATCGTTCTTTGGTTCAAATTCATAACCAATTCTTTAGGTAAACAATGAAATCAATTAAAGTCTAATCACATTCAATCACTATATGAAATACTAACCAATGAAATGGTCAACATTTTATGTGATACAGTATTTACAAATAATATGAAAAGGAGAATATAATGGAGTCTAAGCGCTACCAAAGGTTGTGTAGGTGTAGGTTCCGACTCAGCACTGATCGGACATCACTTGTAAACCTTAAAGCGTCCAAAACTGGCAGTAAATTGAGTAAAGCTGTGTCTCGCGGGTCGGAAAACCATGACTTTATAGGTATTGCGTTATCTTTGAGGCGACAAATGATTTATAAACGACGGTAAGAGTGAATGCAAATAACATTGGATGCAATGGATGCGATGCTTACCTGGATATGCTCTGTAAGCACCGGGACTATTGTCTAGAATGAAAACACTGGATAAGTCGTGAACTATTGCCGTTAAGTCTTTGGTATAACTGCCGTAGTCTAGAGTGCAGTGCTGTCTAAAGTATCTCTTCTTCAAAATGCCTCTATTGTTGTCGAGTTTGTCGGCCACCGCCGCCCCGTATATCTCCATACTTGCCGTAAACACTACTAAATCATACCATTGGCTAACCTTCAGTGGGATAACCGATTCGTGTGGTTAATGCCAATCACACCAAACTATCGCTGAATGCAATACTCACGACATTTAGAAAATAGTCCACATGTGGCCTCTTGTGCACGAAGAACCTGACGGGATGTCTATCTATAGTCACTTTGAGCACAAAGTCTGGAGGCGTTCCCGGTTTGACCATTTGTCTGATCACTCCGTCGTGATGTGAATGTATTAGCGTCTCGTCTAAGTCTAACACCAAGACCTTCCTCTTGACCAAACCTGTGGTAAGGGATGAATGCATTGGTTATGATATAGTGAATGAATGGCAGTGTTAATGGTGATGACTGACTGAGTCTGTGTTTGGAGAGTGGGGACAACGGCATGATGTGGTACTTAACGGTCTGGTGTTGGATAACCTGCACAACAATACAAGCGATTATAAGCATACATACAATCAGTTCATCCGTTACACCATTAATCCAATCAAATCTTATCCATTCATTCATATGATTAACACATTATTGTAATCTTAAATCCAATACTCAAACAAACTATAAGTATTCAATAGATTAAAGAACCCATAGATTGGCAAACAATGGATCAATCAATGGATCAAATGGTGTCCAAACAAAGATTATGATTGCGAAATGCTGTGAGAGATTGTAGTGAATAGAAAGCAAACAACTGAGTGAATGGATGCATTGAGTGGACGGGTGATGGCATGGATCAAGTGGTGGTGACATACAGTCCTGACTTGTTTCTTGAGGACATAGCAAATGAATGTCCAAATCTTGGAGGCGAAGACCAAAACGGCGCGTAAACCCATTTCCAACTGTTTCAACATTTGGACACTACTTCACGTGCTTCCAAACCTATCAATGGATCAATACTTGTGTCCAATCGGCTGTCAAACTCAGCAATTGTCTCATCAAACACTAAATCACTGCTAAATCAATCTCAACTCACTTTAGTTGTAAGCATTGATTGTGTAATCATTGAAACAAATCACACAAATATTACTGATATTTGTATTACTGTTCATAGAGTCATACATACAGTCATTACATACAGTCATACACTCTATGAATACAGTGAATGCAGTCAGCAGTGAATACACACACATTCACACCGTATGTAACACTCGGTGAGACTGTATGAGCCATTGACAGTAACAGCCATTTAAACAATAGTGTCCGTCATATGGAGCCACTGACGCACTCTATCAACACTATTGTCGTACTGTTGTTTCACTGTAAGTCAATGTGTTTCTCATGCAACTCATGTCAACTCAACTCATGTTATATTTTGTATGAAATGTTTGTTTTGATTGCAAACAAACAAAAAGTCAATTCAAATGAAATGGTTTTAGTATTTGGTTTGAGCTTAACATGAGATCAGATGACGAGACCATTGACCACAAGACCACGCGTTTGGCACCAATTGGTCACAAACTTAAGCACTCGAGTGGTCACCAAATGAAGGAGGAGTCCATTGAAAGCAATGAATGGCAAAGAAGTGGACAGATATTGCCACAGATATTGCCGTTGAACTCAGCTGTCATTGAGAGGATCAGACTCAATATGGGATCAAATCCAGTGAAAGTAGAGCCAAGTGATGGTCACCACTCACCCACTGATGGCACTGATGGCAGTGTGGCTACAGTTCTCCAGAACTCAATGAAGCAGAAGTTGGCGGATGTGTTGCACTCGGAGGCCGACTCACATGACCCAGAGGTGGGCCAAAGTGCTGTCATCGATGTGTCGCTGCTGTGGAAAAAGTGGTCGACACTGGACTCGGATTACCAGAAACTCATGCAAACAAAGAGCCGACACTTGAGGAAAGGCAATACTATTTGTCTCGACTCTCATCTGTGGACTCAATTTGATGAACACATGCGACAAATCAGACAAATGTTTGATGAGTTCAACCAAAACAAGTCAAGAGATGCCAAGAGGTCTTCACCACAACAACAGCTCATACCTAATAAACGACTCAAACACTGATTATAATCAAAGTTAGACTAATAGTAACTGAATTCATATTTAGCATCCATTTAACCATTATATCAATTAATCACTTGTATTATACTTGACTTCATATTCTGTATTAGCCTTTAAAATGATAATAATCATTAATATTAAATATTTTCTAATTTATGAATAAAATGTTGTTTGAATTATGAAATTCATTGATTAAATGTTTAAGTGTTGAACAAATATGTTATAGTTGAATTCACTTCACTAAGCCATCACTTAATAAGCAATATTGAAATATCATAAAATCTATTCTTACAAAAACGTTTTAACAAATGAAACAAAGTTATGCCACAAATACAAAACATGAAAACTGAAAATCTTAATTTTTAGAATACTAATTCTTCAGATACTGTTACAGTATTACTCTAATATTTGTAACTTGTGATCATTTTTTATTAAGCAAATTCTAACTTACAATAGACTCGTTCATATATCACTGTTATCCTGACCAATGTTTCACAAAAATAACATCAATTGTATCGTTTATTTCATTTAACTCATAAATCTATGATTTGTGGGACAAGTCGAAGAGTTTTTTAGTATTGTAGTTAAATGGGTTTAGAGACTCTTATTAGAGACTTGTGAACGAGTAATATATTGATATTACACTTTTAATAAGATACCTCCAAAGACCTCCCTGGCAATTTTATTATGAGATCAAGAATCTTATAGCTGTAAGCGACAAAGTGCACTTTTTACTACACAACCAATAAAAATAAAACATTTCGAACTAATCAGTTCAATGGTGTGACTGATGGACAGGTAGTATTGATTGAAACTTAAGCACTCGAGTGGTCACCAAATGAAGGAGGAGTCCATTGAAAGCAATGAATGGCAAAGAAGTGGACAGATATTGCCACAGATATTGCCGTTGAACTCAGCTGTCATTGAGAGGATCAGACTGAATATGGGATCAAATGCAGTGAAAGTAGAGCCAAGTGATGGTCACCACTCACCCACTGATGGCACTGATGGCAGTGTGGCTACAGTTCTCCAGAACTCAATGAAGCAGAAGTTGGCCGATGTGTTGCACTCGGAGGCCGACTCACATGACCCAGAGGTGGGCCAAAGTGCTGTCATCGATGTGTCGCTGCTGTGGAAGAAGTGGTCGACACTGGACGAGGATTACCAGAAACTCATCCAAACAAAGAGCCGACACTTGAGGAAAGGCAATACTATTTGTCTCGACTCTCATCTGTGGACTCAATTTGATGAACACATGCGACAAATCAGACTAATGTTTGATGAGTTCAACCAAAACAAGTCAACAGATGCCAAGAGGTCTTCACCACAACAACAGCTCATACCTAATAAACGACTCAAACACTGATTATAATCAAAGTTAGACTAATAGTAACTGAATTCATATTTAGCATCCATTTAACCATTATATCAATTAATCACTTGTATTATACTTGACTTCATATTCTGTATTAGTCTTTAAAATGATAATAATCATTAATATGAAATATTTTCTAATTTATTAATAAAATGTTGTTTGAATTATGAAATTCATTGATTAAATGTTGAAGTGTTGAACAAATTTGTTATAGTTGAATTCACTTCACTAAGCCATCACTTAATAACCAATATTTCATATCATAAAATCTATTCTTACAAAAACGTTTTAACAAATGAAACAAAGTTATGCCACAAATACAAAACATGAAAACTGAAAATCTTAATTTTTAGAATACTCATTCTTCAGATACTGTTACAGTATTACTCTAATATTTGTAACTTGTGATCATTTTTTATTAAGCAAATTCTAACTTACAATAGACTCGTTCATATATCACTGTTATCCTAACCAATGTTTCACAAAAATAACATAAATTGTATCGTTTATTTCATTTAACTGATAAATCTATGATTTGTGGGACAAGTCGAAGAGTTTCTTAGTATTGTGGTTAAATGGGTTTAGAGACTCTTATTAGAGACTTGTGAACGAGTAATATATTACACTTTTAATAAGGTACCTCCAAAGACCTCCCTGGCAATTTCATTATGAGATCAAGAATCTTATAGCTGTAAGCGACAAAGTGCACTTTTTACTACACAACCAATAAAAATAAAACATTTCGAACTAATCAGTTCAATGGTGTGACTGATGGACAGGTAGTATTGATTGGACTACCGGGTCAAACAATTTAATATATATATATTTGCTGTCAAACCATCATAAAGTTAGCTTTTTATGAATATTCACTATTTGTTACTAAGTTCTTTATTAACATGGCTAGAATATTCTAAATTATATGACTTTTGCTTTATATAAAAAAATTATGATCTGCTTTTGTAGTATTAAATGACAATAATTAAGTTTATTAGTTACTTCTTTCCAATCCATCCCCTTTTCAATTTAAATCATTTAAAACGAATGGTAATATTTGAATGGCAATGAATGATATTGTTTATTATAGTGCTTTATTTTAAAATTTATTTCATTTTTATAACTTCAAGAATGCCTACTTATGCATGAAGTTAGTTCTCTCTACAGGTTCCCAACAGAATTAATGCAATTTTTATTGATACTGTACTAAATGTATACCTAATGTTACATTAGTGTTAATAATGTATAACACAGAATCAATGTTTTCACACGATGCTTTACAGTTATAAACACTATTCCTGAACGTCTTTTCAGTGAATAATCATTCATATTGATTAAATGTGCCTGATACTTTTGTTTGTTGCTCTATTTTGTAAATTAAAAAGTTTTTGAATAAATAAAATATGTTAAAATCAATTATTTAATTAAACTATTAAAATTATATTGAATAAATTATAAATAATGGATGTTTATATTTAGTTTTTACAACAAATCTTATAAATCATATTTGAACACATC